TGGTGGCACACACCTTTAATCTCAGCACTTGGGAGGCAGAGGCAGAGGCCAGCCTGGTCTACAGAGTAAGTGCCATGATAGACTCCAAAGCTACACAGAGAAACCCTGTCATGAAAAAACAAAACAAAAAGATTTAAAAAAAGATTTATTTATTTATTATACATACAGTGTTCTGCCTGCATGTCTGCCTGCACACCAGAAGAGGGCACCAGATCTAATTATAGATGTTTGTGATACACCGTGTGGGTGCAGGGATTTGAACTCAGGACCTCTGGAAGAACAGCCAGTGCTCTTAACCTCTGAGTCATCTCTTCTTACCTCTTAACTATACAACTAGTATCTGTGGGTGGCAAAATTTTCACTAATGAAGTGAAATGTTTTCTTTTTTTCTTTTTTTTTTTCCCTTCTCAGTGGTGGGGTGGAGTTCAGGGTTTTGTGTGTGGTAGTCCAGCACTCTCCCAGTGCTAAGGGCGAGCCACACGGAGGTTTCCTGTGTTTTCTTATGAAATCTCCTATCTGCCTGAAGGTTAGGGTGCAGAAACACTGCTCAGCAAAGCTGGGTGTGTGTAAATATACCTTTAAATTCCAGCACTCAGGAGGAAGAGGCCAGCCTGGTCTACATGGCAAGTTCTAGGTCACCTCGAGCTATACACCAAGACTCTGCCAAAAAGAAAGAAAGAAAAGAAAAAAAGAAAGGAAAGAATGAAGAAAGAGAAAAAAAAAAGAGAGAGGGATGGAAGGGCCCTTGGTCCTCAATAACTTTGGAGTCTGTCCTAAAACTTGCTCTGTGGGCCAGGCTGGCTTTGAACTCACAGAGATCCACCTGTCTCTGTCTCCAGAATTCTGGGGATTAAAGGTGTGCGCCACCACCCAGCTTAGTCCGTAATAATGTTCTAGTTGTCAGAGCTAATAGAATGAGGCCTACAATGCTTACATGTAAAGACTGTGGAGAATGAGGGTGAATATAGTGCTTTTTGTTTTTGAAACCTAAATTCTGGTATTTGAGATCTACCTTTCTTCTTCCCTCCCTCCCTCTCTCCTTCCCTCTTTCTTTCTTTCTTTCTTTCTTTCTTCCCCCTCCCCCCTCTTTTTCTTTCTTTCCTCCTGCATCTCTGGGGTGCTATGTGCATGTCCATATAGGTGCCCTTAGACTAGAAGTGTCAGATCCACTGGAGATGAATTATAGGCAGTTAGAGCTGCCTTATGGCTGAACTCCCATCTTCCCCAAGAGCAACAAATGCTTTTAATTGCTGAGTCATCTCTACAGCTTCCTCAAAAGAGGAAGCCAGTATTTGGCTCCAGCTGTTTCTTTATCAAACAATACAAATTAATTCAGAATTCTAGGCTTTGGAACTTTTGAAGAAAAGTTGGAAGTCTATTTGCATGAGAATTTTGCTGCAGTTATGTCAAATGCACGTACCTGGGTTCTATCAGTCTAGGATGTTACAGTAGTTCTGAACTTGGGCTCTGGACTTGAGTTTGAATTCCAACTTTTTTTTTTTTATTTATTTAATTGTTTATTGTGTATACAGTATTCTGTCTGCATGTATGCTTGCAGGCCAGAAGAGGACAGGACACCAGATCTCTTTACAGATGGTTGTGAGCCACCATGTGGTTGCTGGGAATTGAACTCAAGACCTCTGAAAGGACAGCCAGAGCTCTTAACCTCTGAGCCATCTCTCCTGCCCAAATTCCAATTCTCTCACTTCTCTCTCTCTCTCTCTCTCTCTCTCTCTCTCTCTCTCTCTTGGGGGGGGTTTCGAGACAGGGTTTCTCTGTATTGCTTTGGGGCCTATCCTGGAACTTGCTCTGTAGACCAGGCTGGCCTGGAACTCACAAAAATCTGCCTACCTCTGCCACCCTCTGCCTGGGATTAAAGGCATGTGCCACCACCACCCAGCAAATTCCAACTCTTGTTATTTATCTCTGGCATATAGTTGAGTGTAAGAAATATCAAAGGTGAGAATTCTCTATCAACTACTATAAAACTTGTGTTTAGGACAAGGAATTAAAATATTTTCAGTTTCTCACTCCATGTAAGACTTTTATGCAAATTGTTTTTACTCTTCTCTGCCCTGTAGAACCTTTGTTTACACAAAGGCCTACTACTCTAGTCTAGGAATTTGATGGCCTGGAGCAGTGACCAGTGCTTTGAGCGTGACTCCTTCCCCCACCTCCTTCATTTCCTGTGCACCAATTCTTTTCAGACTAGCCAACTGAACAAGATTGTGAAGCTGAGCAGGGCGTTGGTGGCTCACACCAGTTCCAGAACTGGCTCCAAAGCAACAGAGAAACCCTGTCTCGAAAAACAAAAACAAAACCAACCAACCAAACAAGAGACTGTGAGGCTGGACCCAGATACAGTCACCATATGCACTAGAATAAAACTAAAACCTTTCTTTGTGGGTTTGTTCTTTCAAGTCCTACTAGCCCTCCCCCCCCCCCCTTGGAGACAGGGTTTCTCTGTATCTCTGGTTGTCCTGGAACTTGTTCTGTAGACCAGGCTGGCCTCGAACTCAGAGATCCATCTACCTCTACCTCCCGAGTACTGGGATTAAAGACCTGCACTGTTGTAGAATATTGTTTTAAGATGTGTTACATTTCTTTATGCTATGGAACATTGCAAAGACATGTTGCATCCTTTTATGTTGCATTTGTTTAACTATGTGAAGCTGTGTTACTTTGTCTAAAACACCTGATTAGTCTAATAAAGAACTGAATGGCCAATAGCAAGGCAGGAGAAAGGATAGGCGGGGCTGGCAGGCAGAGAATAAATAGGAGGAGAAAAGGGGAGATAAAGGAAGCAGGGATCAAGGAGCAAGAAAACAAGAAGAGGAGGACACTAAGGGCCAGCCACGGAGTAAGAGTGAAAGTCAGGTATACAGAAATAGAGAAAGATGGGCCTGGAGAGATGGCTCCACTCTTCCAGAGGTCCTGGTTCAATTCCCAGCAATCACATGGTGGCTCACAACCATCTATAATGGAATCTGATGCCCTCTTCTGGCATAAACTCATACATTCAGATAGAGTACTTATACATAAAGTAAAGAAATCTTTAAAAACAAAAACCAATAGAAAAAGAAAAAGATAAAAGCTCAGAGGCAAAAGGTACACTGGGATAATTTAAGAAAAGCTAGGTAGAAACAACCCAAGGTAAAGCCAGGCATATAAGAGCAATAAGACTCTGTATGTAGCAAGGCGTCAGTGGCGCACGCCTTTAATCCCAGCACTCGGGAGGCAGAGGCAGGTGGATCTCTGTGGGTTTGAGGCCAGCCTGGTCTACAGAGCAAGTGCCAGAATAGGCTCCAAAGCTACACAGAGAAACTCTGTCTGGAAAAACTTTAAAAAAAAAAAAGACTATTTATTTGGGAGCTGGGTGGCAGGCCCCCCAAGGAGTAAAGAGTAAAAACAGCTAAGAAGGGCTGGGTGGTAAAAGCACACACCTTTAGCACTCAGGAGGCAGAGGCAGGTGGATCTCTGTGAGTTCGAGGGCAGCCTGGTTTGCAGAGCTAGGGCTTTATATAGAGAAACTCTGTCTTAAAAACAAAAACAAAAACAAAAACAAAAAACCTCTTATGGGTGTGGTAGTACACACCTGTTATCCCAGTATTTGGGCTTGACATTGGAGGCTGGCCTCAAACTCAGAAATCTGCCTGCCTCTGCCTCCCCAGTGCTGGGATTAAGGCGTGGGCCACCAGGTTCCAGTCTTATGGGATTCTTAGGATCAAATGAGAAGCTGGAAGCATTTAATTATATTTGAGGTAGGACTGACATGTAGCTTGTCGTTCAGTGCTGGCCTAGCACCAATGATCGCTCGTTTGATTCCCAGCATGGCAAATCCAAACAAAACCTGGGAGGTGGACTCAGTAAGCTTAGAAGTCAATGGGAAGGACAATAAATGAAATCCCATTTGTGTGTGTGTGTGTAGTTTTCCAGACAGGGTTTCTCTGTGGCTTTGGAGGCTGTCCTAGAACTAGATCTTGTAGACCAGGCTGGTCTCAAACTCACAGAGATCCACCTGCCTCTGCCTCAGCCTCCTGGGTGCTGGGAGTAGTGGGCTACCACTGCCTGGGGATGAAATCTGGGAATTATTGGAAGGCTTTATTAGGGCAGTGGAATTTTAATAGGAACTCGAAGGATAAACTGCTGGGTGGAGATGTGGAATAGGTGAAAAAGTGCAACTTTGGTCCTTGTGTGGACAGCGCTAGAAAAAAAGACCAGAAAGCAGTCCTTGCCAGCTGCTGGAGTAAAAGCAGAGTGGATTTTTTTTTTTTTTTTCCGGGGCAGGGTTTTTCTGTGTAGCTTTGGAGACTATCCTGGCACTCGCTCTGGAGACAAGGCTGGCCTCGAACTCACAGAGATCCGCCTGCCTCTGCCTCCCCAGTGCTGGGATTAAAGGCCCGGCGCAGAGAGGATTTAAAATGTTCAGATACTTTCCTGGGAACCGCGACTGATGTGTGGACTGTAAGGAGCCTCCATTTACCTTAAGGCTAGTAGTACTAGCAAACTGTGACTTCACACAGTTTTGGTCAGAGTTAACTCCCCAGGCAGAAAAACCACACCCACCAAGTCTCCAGCAGGGCTGGAAACTTAGAGGAGACAAGGAAGCGGTGGGACTGGCTTGGGGTAGTAGTGAGCGGATTTTCCGGGGCGCAGGAGGAACATCAAGTTGGCATAAAGCAGACCCATTGGCAGCCGAAAGTCAGAGGAGGCCTCCAAGGCTGAAAAGGCAGGACAGGAGGCTTCTCAGCACACAAACGCTACAAGTTCGTGCTGAGGAAATTTGGTCAGTGTGCGAGTCCTCTGTTAAAAGGAGTGATGGCGCCCCCTGGGAAAAGTTCTGGGTAGAGGTGGCTGGAAGACCCAGATGAGGACGGAAGAGGGGTGGGGGTTAAGATGGGGGTAATCTACTCGTCAGTTTTCTTCTCACAGAAGCTAACTGTCCGGCATGATGGATTCCTGGGCTTCCAAAACGACAGACCTGGAAGGGACCTCGAAAAAATAACTGCAGTCACATGCCGCGTACCAGAACTGGTTACTTTCTTGAACACTTTTAACGCTCTCTGCTTGGAGGTGAGTATTACCATCTCCCTTTTCGGATAAGAAACTGAGGTTTGATGACTTCCTAAGGCTGGAAGGAGATTTTGCATATTCCAAAGCCTTCTTCCTTTGGTACAGCTGACGTGTAAGGTATCGATTTGCAAAGGTTTGGGAGAAGGAGCATCGTGTGTGAGATGCCCAGGCTTTCTAAGGGACAACAGCGTGGGAGTACTTTCCGGCGAGAACCACGCCTCCCTTGTTGCGACAATATTTGTTATGGATGCTTTCTTTTAAAACAAGAAATCCTCACTATCTGGGAAGGCGGATATTCTATACTCCCTGATCACCCCGATGTTTCTCTCTCACCAGCACTGATTCCCACAGGTGACATCAATTCTCCACTTAGAAAGAAAGCCTGAGACTACATTTCCCTGCAAGCCCTTTAGAAAAGAAGGCCAGGAGGAAATAGACTTTCCGTTTCCGTTCGCTTGCAATTTGGCGTGTTCGCGGTGATACATATTTCAACAGCTAGCGTCCTTTCTGTGTACATCTAAAGAAGAGACTACATACCCCAGCAGGTACAGGCACCGAGGGCAAGCGACTAGGTTGCCATCTCTACAGCAGTCCTTTCGTACTTATCGCAGAGCATAGTCGTAGCTCTTGGACTACAAATCCCATAGCATCCTCTGCTCCTTCACCCGCCATCTTTGCGGTAGTTCCCGCCCCTCTCACTTCCATTGTCTCGACAGAAGATAAAAGAGGGGAACGGGGAAGACTACAATTCCCGGCCGGCTTTGCACCACCGAGTGCGGGATTTTGATAGTACAGGCGGGTGAAGCGCTCAAAGTGATAGAATGAAGCGACCAGGAAAGGTTAGGTGGTCTGCCATCTTTATGGTAGTCTCTTTATCCTCCTGGTTCTGGCATTCTTAAGGAACACAGGAAGACTAGGAAACTACTATTCCCATCCCACTTCATAAGATCGACTTATTAGGTGTACGCCCCTCGTTCGCCATCTTGCTTGTAGTCCTCGTTCCTTTTCACCTTCCCATTGTTCCTGACGAGTAGAAATGGCAGCGGGAAGGCAGCAGATGGACTGCGACTCCCGTCAGGTACCACACACGCGGAGGGTTGTGGACCAGAGGGCGTGTGAGTGCCTGGAAAGGAGGTCGGGTCGGGGGAAAAGGCCATCTTGTTTGTAGTCATCGTTCCCGCTCCTTCTCTATGTCCTGCTACGGGGAGTCTCGGGTCAACTGAACTATAATTCCCGCCATGCTCGGCTCCCAGCGTGGCTTGCCTTTCGCCATCTTATTTGTAGTGCCGGCTGGCCTCAGTATCCCATTTTTCCCACGATAGCTCCAGAATTTGCAGGACTACATCTCCCGTCGTGCTTTGCACGCGTTCGACCTGGATAGCCGAGGCGGTGGAGGAAGGAGGGAGAAGGGGGCGGGGTTCCTCTGGAAGAAGGAGGGAGTAAAAAGGAGGAGGAGGTGGGAAGAAGGGAGGGGAGAGGGAGGAGAGGAGGAAGGAGGAAGGAGCTGAGGAGGGATGAGAG